ATTACCCTTGAAAAATGTAACATCAGCCGTTTTGGCACAGTCAAGACTGTACGCAACGAACGAGATTTAAACAGAAGCGCGGGACTCTTCCCAGTGACAGAATGAACAGCGTTTCTGTATTGCATTAGAAAATTATCGATCCCACGGTCCAATTCCACAAAACTAGTGGGAGAGAGTGAAATAATGGCAGACTTTAGTGTTCGGACAAAATTCTCAGCAAGTCCATTCGACTGGGGATGTCGCGGAGCAGTAAACAGATGGCGACATCCCATACCCTTCAGCCATTGCTCGAGGAATTTTGCAGTGATGTGTATGCCGTTGTCAGTGACCAAAACAGTTGGTACAACTTCATGGCTGAAGACTTTCCTCAATGCTTGCTGAGTGAATTCGGCACTTGGAGAGTCGGTCAGAAAAACTTCAGGCCAACGTGAATATGTGTCAATAACGACTAAAGCATAGTGTTTGCCCAGAAAAGGACCACAGTAGTCGGCATGATCTCGTTGAAACACTTGACGAACAGGCTCGTGTAAGCCAAATGGAACAATTCGTCTCCTGGGCATTTGCATGCCACCTGTAGGCTTAGGACATTTAGGAATCGGTTGTTTGATTTCGTTCTCATTCACAGAAGTCGGTGAGGTGATACTGGTTTGCAGTGAGCGCAGAACTTTGAGTCCGACAATCGATGGTCCCGACGTTGAAACCAAGAAATTACAATCGATAGAGGTACCTTGGGGTAACCTCACAGGGATCGTGCAACGACCAACTAAAGGTACAGAATGTCCGGTGATACCGCGAATGTTAACATCTGTAGGCACTATCACGGCACTGGGGTAGAATGCAGTTAGAGCTGATTGTGGAATGATGGACTCAACACTACCAGTATCAACAATAAAGTCATGCTTTTGACCAGAAGCGGATATCAACGTTTTAAAAACATGTGACGAATTTTGGGACAAAACAGATAGAGAAAGAGTAGAAATATCTTCAGATAATGCCTTCACGTCAGTATTTGGGTCAGAAGTTAAGTGACTGACTTTCTTGGACTTACAGACAATTTGAATGTGTCCTGTTTTACCGCAGATAAAACAGTTCGCTCGTCTGTGGGAGCATGAATATCTGGAATGGTTTCGTCCACAAGACTCACATTTCCCAAATTTTTGAGCCATCGGATTAGGGTTAGGATCTGTGAAGTGACCTGTTGATGGATTTGGGGCACGAGAATCTGTTCGAGTTTTGAATTTGTTGTTTATCCGCATCCTTGAATAATTTCTTTTAGAATAATTTAACAAGACTGCTTCCTCAGTCTTCGTTACATGCTTCACATCTTCGTACTGCTCACATAGTTTCCGAATAGTTTGAACTTTCTGATCTGGACAGAGCAGCAACTTCTGCTGTAATTCGGGCAGTTGAATGCCAGCAATGAGTCTATCACGCAGCTTGTCTTCAATTGGCCACCGTAGTCACATTTGGCTGCCTGTGTCTGCAGCTGCAATACGAAATCACGAACCGACTGAGAATGAGATCGGGTCAACATATTGAACCTAGCTCTTTCGGCTGCTACGAAGTTAATTGGTTTGAAGTGTTGAATAACTTTCCTCTTCAATGCAGTGTAGGAAATTTCGATTGGAGATTCAGGATATACTAAATTTTTGATCAACGTGTACCCTTCCTTGCCAACGAAATGTAGGAAATATGCCGTGAGTTTCTTATCATCCATATCGGATTTTGTGAGGCACCATATGTCGAACGTTCCAAATCGGATTTTGTGAGGCACCATATGTCGAAGCGTTCCAAATAATCCTCTAGGTCACGTGCAGTTGAATTAACATCTAATGGTTCCATTTCTGCAAGCATGATGAATTGTTCCAATCGCGACGCCAAAATGTGAGAATTAAGTTTCATACGTATATCGGTAGAATATTAAAACACGAGAATAATGAATAGAGCAATGAATAGAGTATCAGTTCTGTTCATCACAGATGTGCTTCTGACCTCTCTCAGGCTTGCGGGTCATTCAGAAATAACCAATGCGCCTGTTGTACGGTACCCACAATTTTCACCGCCCACCCGCGGTTGGGGTCTCTTTATCTAGTCAGAATCTCGACGAAAATATTGTCTTTCTTATCTGCTGCGAGACGTGTTTCATCGTTAGGACGTTTATTGCAAACATGGGCTGTAATCAGTGGAATTACAAAAAATACTTGAACATTCTTGTTTGCTTTGCCTTTCTCCAATCCACAATCGGTTTTAATAACGACGTTTTCACCGACACAAAACGTTTACAAATATACATAAAAGTGCCCTATACATACATTTGCATAATATGTGCACAATATACAATACATATAGTGATATGATTCATAATGTAAAAAGGCGCGGATAGCTTGTTGCTCAAATCAGATTGTTTTGAAGGAGTAAACAGCCAAGCACCCGAATGCCCGGCATTTCTTCAGAGAGGTACCAAATCACCCGAAAAGCTGTACGCATCATATATTCTGAATGAAGCTTAAAAACTGATAGTACAGTCATGTTCTTAAGGGTTGTAAGAACCAACTGTTTTTTTAAATACGTTGCAAATTCTGACCGAAAGCAAGCCATGAATCCAACAGAAGAACGAGCCCACATTTTATTTTGGAAAGTTGGAAATCGAAAATCAATTGTGCCTGAAGTAATGGGGGTCTCGAGGCCTCATGCAAAATTACAGAATTTGGTAACTTCAACACACCACTGAATCAATTTCAGTATAGTGGTTTTCACTTGATGCGAAAACGGTCCAAACATCTAAGTTGCTTTGTCAATGGGGTATCTTATTGTCACAGCGGTTAGAGAGAATTATAGCTCAGTGGATGGTTAACCTGAATGCAACTGGCTTTCCTCAAAATCCTTTTGCACAGATTAGATGGACTAGGATTAATCTTACATGAACATTTCAGGAGCGACTATCTGAACCACGATTTTATGGCTTCCTTGTGTGTTAGGAAATTGATAATACCAATTTTTGGGTTGTGTGAGTTGTCTGAAATGGCTGTTTTATAAAGTGATTCTGAAACTAACATCCTGTTTAATTCCCTCACTTATTCGTCTGACCAGTATCTTATCCAATTATGTGGTTGCTATCCACAGACAAAGTAAATGTACTTACTGGTTTTTGAAGTTTGGCACGAGAAAATCAGCCAAGTGAAAATGAAATAGTGGATGTAAAAAATGTAAACGACATTAATTTGCACAGAAATCACTTTTGGTAGGGTGGTGTTAGATTGTGAACATCAAACGAAAACTTAGGGACAGTCTGAGATGAGCTGTGTCAACATGTTAGGCTCGCGCAACTCACGGGCTAGTGGACCAAGACCTATGGATCGCAATTTTATCAGCACTCAAAACTATCCCCTTGAAAACGGAACAAATGCTCTCTTGTTTCTAGCGTCTTAAAGTGAGCGACTTCCGCAAATGGCAAGACCAAACATATGGAAGATATGTGAACTATTGCAACAGCAAACGTAATCAACACAGAAGGAATCAACAGCAATCAAAGACCAAAATCCATCACAGACTCTTAATTGCGCAGTTTTCACCTTAGCATTATTTCGCTAGAAAAAAATTATTTGCAACGCCAATGGTAAAATCCCGTCTTGGTGGGTTTTGTTTTTTAGTGGTGAAAAAAATAAAAAATAAAACTATCTATTTCTGGGTAGGATCAAGTGGAGTCCCAAGAATTAGTTCTAAGGGTGCATTCTTTCAAGAACAACATCATGAAAATGTATCTCAAGTCAAACGTAGTTTCCAGGGTCTGTAAAATCTCTCCGTGCGGATCGTGAAACGTCGTCACAATTCCCTGGCTATTCACACCTGGTCAGATACCCAAAACGATCCGACGAAAATATGTAAGCAGGAAAACTAGCTGGAGTCTGAATTAAGTGCTCTTATCCCACTTCTGTTTTGAGTACGTTTTGAAGCAAAGCCACGTGTGACGAGTTCTATGACTTAGTACACTACAAGTAAGACACATTGAGAAGCATCAACCATGACTCTGTTCTGATGGAATACATGAACAAACTCTGTGCCTACAATATTTGCCGTAAAAATACGTTTCCCTCAACAGCTTACCTAAGTCTCTGGGACTATCAACCGGTCTTTTCTTTATCAGTGGTTATTTATCTAGTTGTACCATACCTGGCATGACCTCTCTTGACAATCACTCAACTACTTACATGCAATTACTTGATAACTCACCACCTGTTACATGAGCAATCCTAAAATTGAGGCTTGTGGCAGCAACTAACCAATCAAAACTAAGCGATCACTTACCAACCGTACCAATTTTGGGAATCTCTTGAATTTTTGCCTACAGGACCACATATGCTGATGGTATCAGTGAACAAGGATGTTCCAAAACCGGCAAGTTTCACAGAGAAATGATGCTAAGCTCTGTCTTCAGAAGTACCGTAGCGTTGCTTCCAAGACTAACCTGAGCACCGGAAGCCCTGATGAGGCTTCGGGAGTCAAATCCTGTGAATAAAACATTGGTTATTGGAAAATCCGCTTGAACATGGTCTACTTTATTCATTAATTTATGGACATTCCATTCATCCCTAAACTCAATATATCTTGATGGAAATGAAATTATTTTCTCTGGCGCAAGGATTTTCCTCTTCAAACCATGACCCCCAAAGAAGGATGTTCACACGTTACAGCTTACTAGTATGATTTGGGAAGAGTGCAAGGAACAGAACTTAAATGTTCTTCACTGAATCTGAACGACCGAGTCATGCTGCCTTAAATGTAACATTTGTCACGGGCTTATTTCCTTGGTTTCGCAGCAGTAGCTTTCCCTGCAAGTCAAATAAAATGTGGGAAAAATATTATCATCTTTAAGAGTGAACAGCATCGTAGTTCCGTTGATAAAGAAAAGAAGAGCGAAAGTGGGAATCCATCCAGTTTATTGTCAAGAATAATGTGGAAGCGGTAAACCATCAACAAACGCGTTTTGTTTTCGAAACAGCCTAAACGTTGTCTGAAACTGCAGCAACATCAGCAATTAGTCTATCCCAGTCCCAGATTTCATCCTTCTATGGAAGCAAAGTATTGATTAGGAATACAAACATTTTACCTCTTGGACTGCTGACTCTGGGCTTAAGAAGTTTGTGAGCAACTTCAAATTTATCTCGTTATCCTGGAAATGAACGAACGAATAAGCAGTTACAGAAGAGAATGTTTCGAAAATCTACCAGCAGCTGGAACGCAACGCCTTGTTTGAGTTCGGCGTTCAGTTCTTGATAGCTCAAGAGTCGACTCATAGGAACACTGAAATTCAGATCGAAGTTGGCAATGAAAAATCTGAACCATTGAATCAAGTGATATTTTTGGGCAAACAGAAGCAATAATGTGTATCATTCGTGAAAACAGATAAACTAGCGAAATGTGATAACAACTCGACGAACTAAAGAACAATATAGCCGGAGACAAAATAACTACGCGCACACCTAGAAGGTCTGCTTCTTACTTAGTAGCCAGTATTCAAGAGAACGTAAATCCTGTCAGATGGACATCACTTTCCTGGAATTCGCTTTTGCGTACATTAGCTCTCCGAAACTGTGGACGAGGATCACCCTAGTAACAACGAATTACAATGTGATCGTGAATACGATTGTTTTCTTATGAAACACGCTGTGATGACGATGATGGCTCCGATAACTTGGCCACTCTGGTACTGCTTACGTCTCAGTTGGGCCAAGTGTCTAGGTTACAAACAAGCCTTTCGCTCAATACCATTCAAATGAAACACTCTGTGCGGTTGGAACTTTCAGTCACATGTTGACAATATTCTGGAGCCATCTCTGAACCATATGCACACTACTTTAACACGACCAGCCATGATACTATAT